CAAATCACCAGAGGGAAGAGGGATATCTGCTTTGGATTGTGAGCAAGAAATAAGCTGCTACTGTGAATGGAACATAGCATGCTTTGTGTCTACCACTAATGGCAGGCTAGAATGTCTTAATCTGTCATATTTCCTCCAAAAGTACCCTTACTTGACAGATGCCTTATTTACAGCACAAGAGGAAAACTTGGGGCGGAGTTGAGGGATACGCTCAGAATTTCCAATTCCAAAACCCAGTCTAGCTTGCTATGTTAACAGTGATGCAACTGCTAAAAGTGTGACAAGGGCTGATTAGGGCAAGTAAGGTTGTGCTCTTACAACATAGGTAAACTACTAAGTCAAAAACTGGGATTTTATGAAATATGGAAACCCACCTGGTAGTGACAGAATTTATGGTGATGCTGACTGAAGTGGTCTCTCTCTTGGGAGGGAGTGTCTTGGGAACATGGAGCACAGGGTATTTGGCAAATATGAATCTTGAGGGGCTTTTTCAGGTTCATGTAAGAGGACTACACATGTGAACAAAAAATGAAAAGAAAAGAAATCCTCTTTTCTGAAAAGCAAATACATTTAAGAATTAATAAGTGGAATAACCAAATTGAGAGAGTAGTGATGACTTTAAAACAAACAAGCATTGTACCTGGGAGGAATATGCCAGGTGTGAGGTGAAAAGTAGAGGGTGGAATGTGGTCAGGTGGTGTTCCCCAACTGCTCCTTCCAAAAACGGATTCCACCATAAGATGTCATGTTTTTGAAACACCTGTATTTTCATTCAGTGGGATGGAAGATCTGCTGCACTGCAATTTATCCTGTTTCTTCAATAGTATTTGCTGACAAAAGAATGAGTTTATGCATTACACCATGTCATTTTGTATCTATTACTTCAACTTTGTCTCCTTTTATACTAAATCATTATGGTAAAATATACATGAAATTTACTAAACTATGTAATTAATATTATATATATTCACAATGTGGTACAGCCATTGCCACTGTCCATATCCTGAACTTTTTCATTAACCCATACTAAAACTCTGTACCCACTACACAGTACCTCTCTCCATTTCTTCCTCTCCATAGCCCCCCAGTACCCACTACTATGAATTTGGCTACAGATGTCAACCAAGTGAATTCAGACAGTATTTGTCCTTGCGTATGGCTTACTTAATTTCATTCATGTTGCAGGATGTATCAGAATGCCATTCCTTTTGAAGACCGAATAATATTCCATTGTATACTTATACTAGCCTATCCATTCTTTTTGGATGGCCATTTGTTTTTACCTATTGATTGTTATGAATAATGCTGCACTAAACATTAATGTACAAACATCTGTTGAGCATCTGCTTCTAATTCTTTGGGACATCTACCGAGTGGGAAAGGTGTATCATATGATACAGTCATTGTTTTAAAATGGTAGCTGTACCATCTTATGCTCCCACCAGCAGTGCACAAGGGTTACCATTTCTCCATATCCTCACCAACACTTATTTTCCTTTTAATAGCTATCTTAATTATCGTGAAAGGTTTTTTTAAACACACCAAGAACAGGTGTTTCTCAGTGCTAAACACCTTAATTGCTAATATTAAGAAACCTCTAAAATGGGAGTGGTGGTACATACCTGTAATCCCAGCACTTGGGATGCTGAAAGCAGGAGAATCACAAGTTCAAGGTCAGCCTGGGCTATATAGTGAGTTCAGTGCTAGTGTGGGTAACAATGAGCTCTAGGCCAGCTTAAGCTACATAGCAAGACCCTGTCTCAAAAAGCCAAGAGCTGGGGATGTAGCTCAGTGGTAGAGTGCTTCCCTAACATATGAAAGGCCCTGGATTTGATCCCTAGCACTGAGGAATGGGAAGGGAAGGGAAAGGGGAAGGGAAGGGGGAAGGGGAAAGGAAAAGGGAAAGAGGGAAGGGAAGGGGGAAAGGGAAATAGGGAACGGAAAAGGAAAGAAGGGAAAAGAAGAGAAAAGGAAAAGTGAAAGGAAACAAAAAAAAGTAGAAGACCTCTAAGAAGGTCTCTAAATGTTTATAGTTAATGTACCAAAATTCTGAAATACCAGGGACGTCAGGGAAAGAAAACTGCCATGCATTTCAAAGGTAAGCCCCTGTGGGTACATCTTGCCTACCCTACAGCATCCTCATTGCCTGGATCAGCCCCAGGAGACCTTGTAAGCACGTCCTGGCATCAGCCTGTAGAAAGTCCCAGAAATTTAAGCCTACTTCATTTACTCAGCCACCTGCAAGTACAATTCCTTCTATAGCTGAAAAAACCAGTGCTTTTCCTCGTAGACCCACTTTTCATAGTCACAGTGATTATTTAATACAAATTGCCTTAATTTCTAATATTACAAAAACATTTTCACGTTTGCAGAGGGAGACCTGTATTTAAGTTAGGGAAACCCCACTATAGAACATGTACTATGAGACATTCTAATGATAAGAAATCACACAGCTGGGCACCAGTGGCTCACGCCTATAATCCTAGCTTCTCAGGAGACAGATCAGGAGCCAGCCCAGTCAAACAGTCCGAGAGACCCTATCTGGAGAAATCCCTTAACAAAAAAATTGGGCTGGTGGAGTGGTTCAAGGTGAAGGCCCTGAGTTCAAGCCCCAGTATGGCAAAAAAAAAGAAAAAAAGAAAGAAAGAAAAGGAATCACACACAGATTACAAACCAAAGCAAATGCTAGTTGTACCTGGAAGGTCTGAGAACTGAAGTTCCAGAATTCTGCTGACTACAAGGGTGGAGGGGGTGTCAAAACGATGAACTGAGACACTAAGCTAGGGGAAAGACTATTTTAATAGCATGGAAAAATCACAGGATGGGTAATATGGCAAAAGAGTCTCTGGATTGAAGTTTTCCAAGCTGGATAGGGAAGAAAAGGATGTCAAATCACTCAAGTCTCAGGTCACTCAAGTTGACAGCCCCTTGCAGCCCACTAAGCATCAACCCTAGAGCCTTAGGGCCCGTCCACCTCACTGAGAGGTGACCCCAGGCCGTGCTGTTGGAAAGCAGCATCAGTAAGAGTACGTGGGGTGATGTCCTGGAAGTAGAGCCATCTGAAGACAGAGGGGACAACAGCAGGTGTATCATGGAGGTGGCCCCAATGGTAAGAGTAGCCAGAGTTACTAGCCAAACATATGAATGAGAGGAATCATTTTGAGGGAGGTACTGGGATTTTCTAGCATACTTGCATAATCCATAATATTGTCAGCAACAAAGGTTTTGAGCACAAATCAAACTCACTGATTTAATTTCTTTCATTTTCTTGTGGGTCCCATGGGATTTCTTTAAAGACTATTGCCCTTTGCTCACACATCTATTTACCAATAGAATCAAGGCATGTTTTAAAACTCAAGTAATTGGATATCAAGGCTACAAAACTTACTGGAGTGCCTCTTTCTCAACTTTAACAAATTCCTACACTAATGTAATGCTGTGAGAACAAGAGAAATAAAATCTGAGGCTTTGGCATAAGTTGTTGCACTTACTTAATTTTATTATATTTTAAAATCTCAAAATAACAGAACACAGTAATTTTCAAACATCCGAGGAATGTTCAACTGGGCACAGAGTCTTCATACAAACAATTTGAAAGACCAAGTTTCAGTGACAATCTCACCTTGTATCACACAAGAATAACATAGATAAAGTGATCATTTAAACCATGTGCAGCCATTAAATAGTTGTGTTTCACATTTATGTATAAAGCATGCTTGGCTTTCTAAAAAGAGAATGTAAATTCTTGCCCCGGTGGACATTTGACTTTATAACAAATGGCTAATATTATTAGCACCAATTCTCAATGCTTATAAATGTTATACCAAAAGTTACACAATGTAACAACAATAACAGAATAACGATGCGCATGTTTCTCTTAAAAGTTTTAAACTGTGAAACAAGGCCCCCCAAAAGATGTCAGAGCTAGTGTGTCTTCCAATGTTTAACAGCATGAATGACTCAGAAAATGGCAAAGGACAAAGAACTTTCCTATATGTGAACCAATCTATGGACTGTTTCTGACTTTCTGAAGAGTAAGCAGAGAGGTAGTAGTGATGGCAAATAATGCATATATATGTCTCAGAATACAAATATCATTACCTCTATGGCAGTGCAAAGTACCATTTTGAATTAAAAAGGTTTTACTTGTGTTTCTAGTTCAGGTATAGAATAAAATGTAAATATGAAACAGTACTCATATGAAGAATAAACACATACAACAAAATGTCTTTCAAAAACTTAGATATAGGGGGTCTTCACAGAGATACGTGAACAACTTCCTAGTTAGCCAAAGTATGAAATCTTTAAAATAACAGGTATTTATCTTAACAAAATATAATAAGGCTCCACCCAAACCACTCTTGTAGTACTGTATCTTGCATAAAATAGCCATTCTATTTATCCTATAACTTATCTAAAAACTGTAAGAACACCTAATAAAATTTTGTAAAGTTTTTCCTTTTAAATGTGAATAAATGAAACATTCAAGGTCATAACAACAAAGAAAAATAATGTATATGGCTATTGCTTTTCTGGCAACTGGTAGAACATTAACAGTATACTACAGTGTCAGATATTTTATATCTGAGCAAGAGATGACAAGTATACCTTCACCTTTAAATTCTCTTGTGAGGAAAAATTCTCATGGATTTAACTATAGAAGTTGTCAATCCCTAGTATTTCCTCTTTAGCTGTTTTGATGAACCCCTATCAAAGGGTTGTGGGTTTTTTTTTTTTTTTGCTGTTTTCTGAATGAAGCATATTTGTAAGCTATCAATGAAAAATATCAAAAAGACAAAGCATGTGGATGAACTTCCTATTGAATATGCTAATACTAACATTAATGAATTTTAAAGAAGTAGACGACTATAATTAGCTTTGCAATTTTGGATATAACACATTTTAGAGAAACTTTCTATAAAGCAAAAATTAAGAGCAGGAAAATAGTTTCACATGAGGAGGAACTGGCAAGCCCAATCTAAATTTCTGCAAACATTTTTTCAATTCTTGAGGCATTTTTCTTCCTTAAGCTTTTCAATGTAGTGACACAGCTTCAAGGCTGTTCCCAGCTTCAACCCCATGTACTTCATCACCATGTCAGTATTGAGAAGTAGTAGGGCCTTCCCATCAATTTCCTACAGAGAAAAGGAACTTATAATAATTAATAATACTGTCATATTTGACAAGCAGTTATTTCTTTATATATAGGAATATGTAAAAACAGAGAGCAGCTCATTCAGAGATGTAGACTCTCAGAGATGCAGTCTCTGAATGTGTCCATTTTATAAAAACTATTAAAAATATAAGTTGTACAGTGAAGCATCATTTCAACATTTATAAATTCACATCAAACTTTAAGAAAAGTGAAATTTAACATATTTTTAAATGAACTATGTCAAACTATGTAATTTTAAATAATCCATGTTGAATAAAATACTACACATCTATGACAAAAAGGGTAAAACCTCTGAACTGCAGAAATGAATTTCTGATATTCATTAATTTCTGACAATGGCTAGGAATATGAGTATATCAATAACAACTGAAAGGCCCATACAGAGGTTATTCTAAGGCATTAGGGAAGCAAGAAAAAAAGGATCAAAAGATACATTACATGTTGTTTCATGAGGTTGGTGAGGGAGCCTGACATCTGAGGGTCTGCACGCTTCAGGAAAAGGATAACGTCATCCACTGACCAAGTCGAAGCGTCCTCCAGGGCTTCTTGTTTCAGGGGAACAGGGCCAGCTTCCAATGGTGAACTTGCAGCTTTGATGGGGGACAAAAACAAATCACAGTTCACCTGATCATTATCCTGAAAGAAGAGATGTTAGCTAGGGAATAATGGTGTCATTCCTGGAACCTATTCTTAAGTATCCAAGCAAGGAATCAAGATGACAACTGTAAAATCCAGCGAAATCCTGAATAAAGATGATTGCTAGGCGCCGGTGGCTCACACCTGTAATCCTAGCTACTCAGGAGGCAGAGATCAGGAGGATCACAGTTTGAAGCCAGCCTGGGCAAATAGTTCCACAGACCCTATCTCGAAAACACCCTTCACAGTAAAGGGCTGGTGGAGTGGCTCAAGGTATAGGCCCTGAGTTCAAGCCCCGGTACCACAAAAAAAAAAAAAGAAAAAAGATCTGAGGAGAGTGGCTTCAGAGCATCCCATGTGACCTCCCCCAAACAGCAGGAAGACACCTTAAAGCTTCAAAGATCATGAAACAGATGCAACAACCCAAAACCTCGGGCACAGACAAGTACAGGAAAAGATCTGTTGCGTGGATTAAATTAGGTTGGTCTAATTTAACCCATTACTCTCCTATTTTAAGTGTTTCAGTGAAGTGTTCCCAACTTCTCTTTCAATCTCTTTCCCTTTCTAAATGAGGTTTATTTTACTAAACACAATGGAAATTACCCAGATTTACAGGTTTATAATTTCTTAAATTTGTTCACTTTTTTGTGGTGCTAGGGATGGAATCTGGGGCCTGTACATGCTGGGCAAGCACTGCATCACTCTGAGCTATCCCCAGCCTTGAAATTGTTCACTTTAACCAACAACTTTCAATTATCCCATTATCTTAGAGAACCAAATTAGTTATTTTACCAAATCTCTCCCATGTATTTAATATGGGTATTTTTGGCACAACTTTTACTCTAGATTCCCATCTTGTGGCTTAAAGGTTTATCTGAATTTTAAAGAAACCAAAACTTTCTGCTGAGCTAGGTCAGAGGTAACACTAGCATTTTATTTAATTCCTCTTTCATGTTTAATTACATAGCAATAGATAATCTTGATTGAAGGTTTACATGTTTAATAAAGAAATAACAGAGACATGAAATAATTTTGGTGTTTGTACCTCAGCAGGTTTTAGCTGTGCTGTGCACTAAGTTGTTCTGAAATTTGTATTCTGAGAAGTATTTATTGTTGGGGTGAACAATAAGGGCAGCCATGTTAGGACCAGACCCCCTTCCCTTCACAATTGGCTTACTGGAAACTCCCTACCTGACCCCAAAGACTGACAAAAGGACAGCCGTCAACCTTTATCTCTGGGTGTGCACCAAGGACAGTTGAGTAGACACCTTGCCTAACCACAACTTATCTTCCTTGGTTGCCTAGCAACAGCATTCCTTAGTGACCCACAGGAAAATGTTTCCACCCAGTGACCTTCCTAGTACTTTTCCACCAGCTCCCCCTATTTATATTGCAAGCCTGTATATGGCAGTGGGCTCTGGCCCTCTTGCTGGCCACGCCCTCTGCAGGCTCCCTTTCCAGAATAAAGCCTGTGCTGATGTTAAGCTGCCTCCCATCTATCCTTCGATGCTTCCCTTCAGTCTAACATTTATTAACTCAAGCAGAGTGTTTGACTCCCTAAAATTAGAGTGTGTTGATAACTGAGGGGGTTTTTATAATTTGCTAGAAGGATTTTTTTCTTTAACAATGGACAGTCAACAAAAATTTGATATATCCTTTCTTTCCTGTCATCTGGGCCATGGCCATTTTTGGAGTGTTTTGAGTTATTTACTCAGGGAAAAAAGGTAAAGAAAATAGAAGATTAAAATATTTACAATGGGATCATTATGGGGCTCAGTGGAAAAGAGCCATGTTTGCTGATTAGCACAATGCCTTACACATAATACACACTGAATAAACATTAGTCATCACTATGCATATTCCTCAAACCAGCCATCAAAATAGTAAACAAATTCCACTGGCTTGCATAGAGCATGTTGATGAACACAGGTTCTAAAATGCTATCTGCAACATGAGCCATTCCAAACTCACCAAAACCAGTTGGGATGCATAGAGATAACATGGAGTCATTCTTTATTTCAGAAATGGGCTCTCTTTGGGTCAGTGAAGGTGAAGAAGTCACTGCAGAAGATTCAGAAGTGATGGGAATCTCAGAGCTGGCAAAGCAGGCCAGTGTAGAAGAGCCAGGCACACCATCATCAGATCTCAAGTACGTCTGGTATGAGCAACCAGAGCAGTGTGGAATCGAAGGACTGCTTCTCAGGACTGGCGACTCCTGCTCCCTGCACAGAGACTCCTGCATAACTGACTGGGGATCATCGGAATGAAAAGAGGTCATCATAATGTTGCTTTCATTATCATTTTCAGACCTGTGAACTGGTAAAGTCGAGCTGTAACTTTCACAAGAGAATGAACTGTGACGCTCCCTTTTCTTCGCTTTCTGGGCTTTAGTTTTTTTAGAAACCAGGTAGCTATTTTTGCATGCAAATCCCAGAGGCTTCTGAAATGATAGGAACCCAGCATAAATCAATGGTGAGTCAATATATTAATATTTATTTTCCACACAATATTGTTTTACAGTATGAAAATTAAGTATTTCCTTTTGATGGTATGGTTAATTTTTATTCCTCTTCAGCCCAACATTTTAGTTGTGCTGTATATATTATAGGTACAAACATAGAAATACTCATTGTTATATGTTTGTCAAACCTAAACTTCAGCATTCTTCCAACAGTTTTTACCTCCTGCTGCTACTAAAGCAAGATCAGCTCTACTAACCTCACAGTTACTACTTCTCTGTTGCTTTTAGCTGACTGGCATTTTTAGAAGCCAGAGATTTATCAGAGTTGTGACAATATTTGTATAAAACTTACACGATAGTGCCAAAGGTATTTTGTATGTAAACGCTTGATTTTCAACACCTTCCTGTGAATGATATCAAACTTCTTATCCAGGTTTTGAATGGCATCATATATAACCTATTATAATAAAAGATATCAGTAGTTCATATTTCAAAAGAAAAGTAACACATGAAACTCCATTGAGCCAACTTTTAACCGCTAGGCACAATGAAAGTCCTCAAGTCATCAGAAACTGTGTAACTCCATTGCAGGTGATGCAGGGCCTACCTGGTCAAGACAGGGAGTCTGGACCTGCACCTGCACTGCTCTGACCCCTGTGCACATTGGAAGGTGCTTGTGTGCTAGAAACTGGAAAGTGAGTGTATCATAGTATCTGACAGCAGCCCATGTGGGCTTGCAGTCACTTCCCATCAAGGGAGGAGCTATCTTCAGAGACAAATGTCCAAATCTGCTAAGGGTCAAAGACTCGCCCTCCAAATAAAGACTTGTAAACTAATAGACAGGGGGCTTTCCACTCTGCGAAGAACATGGAGCCAAATACAACAGATGGAACTTTTGGCTCCAGAATATTTTAAAACCATGCAGTCAACAATTAACCTTACAAAGCCATAAGTACACCTTTCCTATGTGCCAATCACATATGTACCTGATAAAAGTCTGAGAATTCTTGAAACACACAGACATTTCAGGCAAAAAGCACAGACATTTCAGGCAAAAAGCACACTTAGATAAAAGACCAGAAGCATTTCCTCATTCATTCATTTAAATAAATATTTATGAGGGCCTTCCACTGTCAGAACTACTTTGCTAAGTGCAGACAACATGGACACTGAAGAACAAAACGAAAACAGAAAGTTCCTGTCCTGGAGGAATGCCAGCCATCTTCTTCCCTGGGGAGAAGCAGAAGCAAAGAGACCATTCCAATAGAGCAAGTGAGCTGGGGATGCAGCTCAGACAGAGGCCTTGGATTCATCTCTAGCACCCCAAGGGAAAAAGCAGAGCAAGTGACTGAGAGCCTGGGGCAGTGATTCTCAAACTCTGGTCCATGGGCAGCAGCATCAGCATCACCTGCAAGCTTGTGAGAAATGCAGTATCATGGGCTCCACCCCATTCTTACTGAATGTAGAGCCCAGTAGGGGCAGCCAGCTGGGTTTTAACAAGTCCCCAGGTGCCTGCTCAAGTGGGATAATCACTGCACTGAGGTAAACGGTGTGGCTCTACAGGCACATGGCTGCTTTCTGTGCCAGAGTTCTGCCACTTATTAGCTGTGTGACCTTGAACAAGTTACTTGACTTCTCTGTGTTTCAATTTCTTCATGTACAGAACTGGGGTGAAAATTTCTCTTAGGAATTCTCCTTGCTGTAGCATTATATTAATACTAAGGATAACAATACTGCATGGTGTCTGTCCAAGAGTGCTCAGTACTCTATCAGTATTAGTATTGTTATTATCACCTCTGTTATCTTTAAAGACACTCTTGAAGGCTGCCATTTTATTTCAATTGAGGATCCTGACATGCATTTAAGGCACATAATAAATTGTATCTAAATCAATTTCCTTTAAAACTTGTGTAAGGGAAATTAATTCAATATTGAGCAATCTAAGTGGAAGAGATACAACTATATTTGATCAGTAATGTTTTTCTTTAAAGTTCTAAAAGATACATATTACTATTTCAAAAATTTCACCTGCAAATGCTATTCTAACTGTAAATTGTTAAAAATGATCACTACTGGGTGACTGTCATGATACCTTGATCTGGAAATTATTATGATATAATTATAAATAATTTGAAATGCAAATTTCAACTAATTGAACAATTCTCTTTATATGAGATAAAGAGAATTTTCATTTGAACATTTTTTTTGACAGAACTCAGGGCCTCACATTTGGTAGGCAGGCACTCTACTCCTTGAGTCACAGCTCTAGCCTATCACTTGAACATTTTAGAAAACCACACTTGAGAGAACTTTCATACCTGACAATGGGTAAGGACATCCACAACTGTTTTTTGTTCCTCTTCATCGTAGGATGTATCAGATCGAATACTTCCTTGCTAGAATAGTTTTTAAAAAGTAAGCAGTTAATGCTTTACTTCAGTAAGGGTCATTTTTAATACTAGGGAAGAAACAATGCTTTTCCTAAATTGTTTTTTCAACAGCCTTTGAAAATTCTAACCCAAAGCAGAGTTAAAATAAAAATTCACATTAATAATGAGTATGGAAATGATGACTGCCAATTAAGAAAGGAAGCAAGGAAAGAATTTTCAGAAGAATCTAGGTGCATATTTCCAGCACAAAGCCACTCTGAATTTCCTACTATACAAGAAAAATGAGAAAGGAAAATGGTTAAGAGCTCATTGTCCAATGAAAGAAAGCATACAGAGTCAGGATAGTATTTTCTTTAAGTGTGAGTTTATAGACCAACTCCACAGTATATGTGAATTTAAACCTTTCCCTTTACAATGGTAACTTTTAATATACAGGGCAACTATCAGTATTACTTACATTACAGAAATATGTAGCGTTTGGCTCATATGCATAAAGAACAGTACTATCACCATCATAAGTAGATATTCTGGTTCTTTCCTGAGAAATATTTATTAAAAATTAAAAAGGAAACGTGAAAGAACTAAAGAAAAAATTGAGGAGTTCAAGCAAGTGCTCCACCACTTAAGCCACACCTGAAGCCCTTTGGTTTTTATTTTGAGACAGGGTCTCAATGCTATCTTTGCCCAGGCTGGCCTCAAACTCTTGATTCTCCTGCCTCCATCTCCCAAGTAGCTGGGATTCTAGGCTTGCGCCAAAGTCCTATTTGTGATCTCAAAGGACCTGTGCCCATTGTATGTACTGTCTCTACATGAAAAGATGTATGTACACAGCTGTGTTCTCATTAATCCGGCCACACATTAGATGCCATTTTCCATCAAGCCTAACCCTTTGTACTTCAGGGCAGAAAGTCTATGCTAAAACTGTCTTAAAAGCAAACAGCTTTCTAATCGTGAACAAAAGAATGTTACATGGCTATGGACTTTTAAATAATCCAACAGTGCCACTCTGTGGACAAAATAGGAACTATTTAAGCACTTTTTCTCAAATTAATCTTTAAATTGTTTTAAAACATTTTTGGAACAAGACAGGGTATAAATAAGTGAAGAGGCCATAAAATAACCACTACCTTTTGGTAAAAATAATTTTTTATTCTACAAATGAATTATGAACTCGAGGAATAATTTTAAAATAAACACACTTGGTAGCTATGTATGATTTTGTTTTAAAATACACGATAGAAATTACCTGAGTTGGCGTCGCATTGATTAGATAACCAAAATAATATGGAATTGAACTATAGATTACTACTTATAAAAATATACTATTTTATCTTTGTATAGTGCCTGATGCTTTTCAAAGTGCTTTCACAAATAAGCCAGACTGAGAAAGAGAAACATCTCATCTTCTCTCTCATATGAGGAATCTAAACCTAAAAAACAATGAATGATGTGAGTTGTGAGTGTAAAACAGGGAGGGATTGTTCCAGGGTGGGAACCAGCAGGAGGGTGAAGAAGGGGAGATGCGTGTGATCAAAGCACTTCCGAACCAGGAATGAAAATAGAAAAATGAAGCCCCTTAAAATTGTTTAAAAGGGAAGGGTTAAGAGAGAGGGGGTGAATTTGTTCAAAGTACATTATATGCATGTATGGAAATATAATGAAACACCTTTGAACAATACACTAATAAAGAAAAGAGAGAAAAAGTTAAACACAATTTAGAAAAGAACTATAGTACAATGAAACGAACAAAGATTTTCAATTTAAAATACAAACCACATCGATTTCACTGGAGGTTCTAGACATTTTTTTGCGTGTGTGCAACAGGACAACTCCACTTCCTCTGAGTTGAGCCAAATTAGTTTTAAACTTGCTGGAGGGTTGTGAAACTGCTTAGTCACCTAAGACTGGTAAACCTTCCACTCCTGAAAAGCAACGCATAAAAAAGTTACTTCGCACACTTACTACCTAAATAACCTTAACATGGATGTGCTTTCAGAATACCACCTCGAACTGGAGTCCTGGTTGGATTTTCGACAGAATTCTTCCTCGCGCAATTTAAAATAAGTGTTTAGGAACTGAAGAGCTCCGTGGCCCGTGAGCAGGAATAAACATCGAGTTAAACGCAATTCCAAATTGTGAAGTGAATGCTTTACAACCTCAAGTCTACGGAGCAAAAGCTGGAACCTGAGCAGAAGAGAACCGGCAAGGCGCGGCAAGGCTACTGTGAGGCAGGCGGCGGCCTCCACCCTCCCCCACGCCAGGAGGCCGGTGCCCCGCCCCGCCCCGCCCCGCCGGCCGCAGCCGGGCGCCCAGAAGCGCTGGGGACGCCGCCGCCGCCGCCTCACCTGCCCAGCGAACCCTTCAGAGTATCTGTAGGGTCCACTTCTGCCACGATCTTTGAATGTCTTACTCCTAGGTTTTACGTTAAGCCTGGATGTCAAATATAAGCCAAAAAATCTAGAGTGCTGAAGGTTCGGCTACGGCTGAGGCATTTAACTTCGCCACTGACTGCAAGGACATAGGTCTCTGCCTTGCGGGACAGGGAGGATCTGAACACCTGTGGCAGTTACTGCGCGGGGCGCCTTAGTGAAAAAGCTCATTCACCCCATCCATATTTGAGGCAGAACAGCAATGAGAGGTGCAATGAAGGGACTGGGTTTCATCTCTTCCCGTTTCCTCCTCCTGCTGGGGACATACTAATGACCAACTGCCCAGAGAAGAGAAACCAAATGGAGACTAAGAAGATGGGAGCGTTAACTCCCAAGTTAAATGCAGACCAATGTATAAACATTTCAAATTATAAAACACCTCCGATTTGAGCCGGAATTTCCACCGATTTTGTTTTTTGCTTTTTCTTACTTTTTTCTGACTATAAAACTAATATGAGCTATGAGTAATTAAACCGGGGCGTATCCATACAAAGGAAGACTTGCAGCAATGAGGAAAACCGACTGCTGCTCCCCGCAAGTATGAACCTCACAGTCCTGACCTTGAGCAAAAGTCAGACATAAAAGAGAACACATGGTATGATTCAACTCACATACACCTCACAAACAAGCAAAGGTAATCTATAGTGGGAGAAGTATCTCCAAATCAATACCTTTACATATATCACATTTTACAATTTCTTAGTGTCCTATCTTGTAAATATACCATGATTTATTTAACCAGTCCACAATTCTTGGATATTCAAGTTACTTCTAAAGTTTTGCTCTTAAAAAGAACACTCAGAACACTCTTGCCCACGTGCAAGTAGTCCTGTGGGGTAAATTGCTAGAAGCAGAAACAATGGGTCAAAGAAGTACAAACCATGGTATCCACATTTGGAAATTCTCCACTACTTCCTTCTCACTAAGGAGAGCCACATCAGCCAGATGTTATACAACACACTAAGGACTATGTTGTTCCTGCATATAGTTTTTAAGCCACAACAAATAACTGATAGTACCAAATGACTTTTGGGCGTCAGATGATAAAGTGACTTTCTCCTTTGACCTACCAATGTAACATACTAATATATTTCTTAAAGGTCTTACAGTGAGTGATCCAGCTGGTCATGGAGAGAACAACATTCAGTTGCATTTTATTTAGAAATTATTTGCATGTCTAAGACCTGTACATTAATAAGATGGTGTATTTCTCAAATTAATGAGCCAATATTAGCACATTATTATTAACTCTTTGTAACAAAATTGTTCTGCAAAATTAATCAGGAAGCCTTCCATCTCTTTCTATGCTCTGAAAAACTTTGCAACGCAGCAGAATTTCTATGCCTTAAAAGTTTGAAAAGTTAAAAAAAAAAGCCCAGATTTGGTAACATTTTTAATTACTCAAATTATTCTACATTTTCTTGAGTTGTTTCAACAAACTACTTTTATCCAGAATGATAGTACCTTCATAATTACAAAATTATTAACAAAATCGCAGTTTAAAACCATTCATTAGTTTCAACTTCATTTGGAGTTTTCTCTTTTTTTCTTGATTTACGATTCCATTTTGTTAATTTACTGCCAAACCTATGGCGTAGGTTCTATTATTACCCCCATTTTCCTTATGAGAAAACTGGGACAAAGAACACTTAATTCACCTGTCATAGCTAGTTTAACGTTCTTTACTTCTCTATTATTAATAAAATCACCTGGAATCTCTTCCCCAACAGTAAGACAATAAAATTCAAACTCCTACCATGATCTGCAAGGTCCTTACACAATAAGGACCCTGTCTACCCATCAGAGGTCACCTCTTACCACTTGTCCTTGTGCTCTAAGCCTAAAATATTTAGTGTCTGGACTTCTGTTAGACAAAGTGCACCTGCTACTATTAAAAACTCTCAGTCAGCGTTGTTAATTATAATGCTGCCAAACTTGGCCACAATCAGACACAGGAGCAGGAGCAGTCGGTACTGAGCTACTACCATTGTCCTCCTGACATTTTTGTTTCTGTGACACATTTACAAATTAACACCCATCTTGCACTCTTTGAGCCTCCTGCTCTTGTTACAATGCCCCACAGTCTCTCCACACAGGAGAACCTAATCATCTTAAAAGTTTACTTCAAGTTCCACCTTCCAAAATCAAAGATCAACAATCACTCCATCTGGATACGACACTGCTTTTTACCCAAGGACGAGAATACTCACACTTTAACAGTTAGGCAACTGTCACACAAGTCCAGTTACATGAGACCAGTATCAAAAAACATTCCACAATTACTCACACTTTAACACAGAGCATCAAAGAACATTAAGGCTTTAGGCTTCTGGCCAGAATCCCTGGGTTTGGATCCCACTTGCCTCACTTACTAGCTGTGTATAAGTAAGTTGTGGACAACTTATGGTACTTCAATTCTATGTTTCCACATTTTAAATCTGTAAAATGGGGATAATAACAGTACAAACCCAATGGATTTGTAAGAACTAAACGAATTAATAAATGGCAAGTGCTTAGAATAACACTACTATTATTTTACTGTTTGGGTATTCACCCCATCTACCCAACAAAACAGTCATGAGGTATACAGGCAACACATCCTCAGGGTCATAACATGCAATTTATAATCCCATTGTACTGGTATGCTGCAAATATAACTCTTTCTTGTGAAAGAGCTGCTATCTTTCTTTTGTTGTTGTTATTGGCTGTACTGGGGTTTGAATTCAGGGCCTTGCACTTGCCAGACAGGTGCTCTGCCAGTTGAGCCACTCCACCAGTCTCAAAGTACCACAGCAGGATACAAAAATAAGTAAATAAATAACAACAACAACAACAACAAAAACCCTGGGCTTTAGTCAGAAACACTTAAATCCAAATCCAAATCGCAAACTTTGCCACTTTACTTTAATGCTTCTCTGTGCCCCATTTGTTTTTGTTTTTGTTTTTTGGCGCTTGCTCTGCAGGCGCTCTGTAACTTGAGCCACGACCCCAGCCCCATGCTGCAACTTTTGAACGTGCAAAATTTAGTCTTACACTATTTAAGACTAAATGATCGTCATGTAGTCAGCATCATGCCTGGTTCACGGAAGTCGCACCTAAAGTTTAGTTCCCTTTCACTGCTTCTCACAAGGTACAAGATTACAGCTTTTACATTTTCTTAGAGTTCAACCATGACAAGATCATGCAAACTTAATTTCATTCTTTAAATTCAAAATCCCGCAAAAACGCGAAGCCATCTCGTTTTTCAAAGACTTGTCCCTTACACATTAAGGTCATTTTAAAGACATTTTCCACAGCCACGTTTAGTTTCGATCCCGGCACCAGCATTCACCTGCCATCAAAGTGTGCGAGAAGGCATACTTCACAAGGACGAGGGCTGAGAAGTACACATTCACCCCAGGAGCAATACAAGGCACAATACAACGAGCAGGCTCTCCGCCTCGAGTTATAAAACCAGAGGAGAGCGAGGTAAAGGAGGGAGGGCATCGATCGATCTCCAACAGACTAAGCAAGCGCCTTTTGTAGCAAACCACGCAGACGCCCGCGGGCTGGACCCAAAGCTCGCACCCGAGGCTCCCCGCTTTACAGGGATCCCCACATTCTAGTTTTTCCTCACTGGGGCACCTGCCCGCTTGAAGCAAAGAACAAGCTTGGTACGTCTTTATTTTTCTCCTCATTAATGTACCCACAATGCAACTGCGATGGCACTGTCTTTGCCCAAACGCCTTCACCACTTCAAAATCTATGTCCCCATCTCAACAAATTTGCCAATCCTTTAAACTCCAAATTCTGTCAGAGTGAGTCCTTCCTCACCCCCCGCACCCGCCTTGGCCATGCTCAACGCCGCCCCTGCCTCGGCCATCTTTGCTCCGCCGCCCCCGCCTCGGCCATCTTTGCTCCGCCGCCCCCCACCCCCGACGCCTCACCCCAAGTAAGAGAAAAGCTGAAAAGGGATTAAATCGTCCAGAAAGTCAGCACGAAGCAGCACTTCCTATAAGTGGGCACATCGCCAAAGCTCCAGCGGTGGCGTCTGGGAGGAGGCCCTGAGAAACGCCACAGACGCCCCCGCTCTCGTAGCGCTCTGCGAGAGTGCACACTCGTTCTTCACGCAAAGCACAACCACCTCAGGAGAGTCCCAGCCACCAAGCGAATCCCTTCACAGGGCTGGTGCTCCGCACCTGGCACTCACACAGTCCTGACGAGAAAGTAGAAGGAGAGAATAAAATAGCCCTCGACAGACTTACTCTGCCTGGTCCAGAACCTACCACACCAGCCTGCAGTGGGCACCGCCAGACAGGTTGCTGCCGCAAGGCCTAAACCTCCCAGCTCGGGGCGGTTACGGCCACTGGCAGGACTGAAGCGTTCTTGTGCCGG